GTCCGTTTTGTGCAAGACTCCATCGCCGAAGCGGTGGATAAGCAAAAGCAAAACGCTGACAAGAATGGAAGGGCAAACACTCTTTTATTTAATAAAGGTGACTTAGTCCTACTGTCTACGGTTAATCTACCAAAGCATGTAGTGACTAACTTGGGTAGCAGTAAACTACTACCCAAGTACATTGGCCCATTTCGTGTATTGCACCGCCTAGGCAATGCATACACGATCGAGTTACCACGTAAGATGCGAACGCATCCCACGTTTTACGTTGGTCGGCTTAAGCCGTACCATCAGTACGCTGCTTCTTCCGATGAAGAACGCCCTTGCGCTCAAGCATCTCGCAGAGAGCCTTGTGCTCCCGATGGTGGGCATCAACAAGGGTCTGAAGAGCAGTTATCTCAGCCCGAGACCGATCAACAATCCCACGAGCTACCCTTAGCTCGTCACGAAGAGATGTCAGAGATCTCTCGTTCTCAAGCTGAGCAAAGGCAAACTCAGCTCGATGCTTCGAGGCAGTGTCCACCATCTGGAGACGCCTATTCCGCTCATGCTCGAGATCGTCGCGTAACCCTTGCGTTACGCGATCAAAGAAGCTCTCGGGAACACACCGATCCACATGATCGTGTGGAGAGCGTCTTTCCTCCTCCTCCACCTCCAGTAGAGGACTCTCGCGGTGGCCAGCGCTATCTAGTAGAGCAGCTGTTGAACCACCGCGACGTGAACGGACGTCGGACGAGTTACCTCGTCCGGTGGCGCGGCTATCCCCCGTCCTGGGATTCTTGGGAGCCCCGCTCCCAATTGATGGTTGACGTACTGGGTCTGGTCGAGCAGTACGACGCGACACATCCTGTGCCGCAGAAGGACCGCCGGAGAAAGTCTTCCCGGCACGGTCGTAAAGGGATTTCAGGTTGTCAATCCCTTCGTACATCTCAGTAGAGACACGTACGCGCCACCACGGGCTGGTAAGGAGGTAAGCCTCCTTAGGTGCTCGTGCAGAGTTGTTCACACAACATGGGCACGAGTCTCCCCAAGAGAGGCAGGGTAATCCTTTCTCCCTTGACAGACGATGCAGCTTGTAGCGTGCACCTGTCGGGGTTCGCTTTTCAAACTTATCACGAGCTTTGATAAGTTTGTCGTTCCAAGCGTCACGACCTACATCCTCGAGATTATGGATGTAGGCGTTCCACGCCTGAAGTAGTGAGGGACCATCACGTTTGTGATTCCCACTGTACCATCGATGCTTAAAGAAAGCATCGATGAAGAACTCATGTTCAGCGCGATAGTCTTTCGCGCTGGGGTCAAGGTGATGGATCCTTGACGAATCGAACAATCGTGTTCGATAACGATCACTCGTCGTCGCCGACAAGTGATCCATGACGGATTTTGGAGGCATCCATGCCTTCTTTTCTGGAGCGAGACGCAACACATTGCGGTCCCGCTCTTCCTGCGACGTGCCGACAGAAGTACTGGCACCTCGCTGTGAAGTGGTGTCCATAGGAGAACCGACACCACTATTAGCGCCCGAGTCTCGCGACCTCGAGCGCCTTCGCTTCGGCGATGGTTCATCTGACTCATCAGATGAACCAAAGATGCTGCGACGCAAAGCATCGTCCATGCCACGCTTGGCAGGCGGCTTGGATTCAATTGCCGTCGATACGGATCCGTCATCCGTATCAGGAGAGTACGAGACACCGAGCTCGTACTCTGTGAAGACACGAGTGTCTTCATGACCAGCGCCTGCATCACCAGGTGATACAGGCTGAGTCGATTCAGCAACCGATGGGATATCAGTTGCTGTAGTTTCTGCTTCGGCGTCCGCACAGAGACGTGCAGACGCGCTCTCGGCGGCCTTGCTCGCGCATCGCATGGGCTTGTTTACCATGCGATGAGATGTTGGAAAGTGGACGCGGACCAACAAGTGCAAACCCCGTCCCAAATGATTTGGGACGAGTATCCATTTAGTCAATCAGTCACTAAAGTGACTGATGGTTAAGGGGGGGGTGATGTAACGGGGTGAATCGTTACATAACAATTTATAAGAAATTGTTAATAGAATATAACTATAAGAGTTATATTCTCAGAATATTGTCATAAGGACAATATTCTGTAGCACTTCCGAGTAGTTCCTAATTGGTTGATATAGGCCATTATATCAACCAACGAAGACGCGCCACGACAGACGCACGCAATGAGTGGTGAGCAGATAACTGATTTACACATTTGTATTTAGTCATAGTTAGATGAAGATAAATAGTGATTTATTGCAGACATTAACTATTATAAATACAGTTCTACTTTTTACTCTAACCGAGTACTCGCTTCTTCTTACCGTCTTCCTCTGCACGTACGAGTGTACGTGAAGTTACGAGGCACCGCCTTATTCTGTTATCAGAATAAGTAGCTTGTACTGTCACCAGTACAAGCTTCAGGGTGCCCCGTTACAGTAACGGGATAACCCGTTACATGATATTGACACCAAACGGTGTCACTAGGAAGATTGTCCAGCGTGACTATCTTCTGCCAATATTACCCGAAATAGGTAATATAGAAAAGAATTATCCGTTAGGATGATATTCACGTGCTGCTCGAAGATTGATTGATAAATACAAATTAACTGAGTTTTCCACCACTCACTGCTAGACGCGCGCAATGGGCGGTGAGCAGGTTGTCGTCGTACGACAATGTAGTTAACATAGTTCGACAAAGACTAAAGTGATATCGATTGCTCTACTATATTGAATAAACTTCTCTTTTTACCTATAACTAAACTAGTAGTAAAAGTAGATTTACCTTTCTCTGCGCGTACGAGCGTACGTGAAGTTTCGTGGTACCCAAGCTAAGGGTGCCCCGTTACAATTTGTGTGCTTCGACCAGGCAGCAGTGACCTGCTGCTATCTTTATAGTTCGAACTGTTTGCAACTATGTTTTCTCAATAGCTCCGTCTGTTGAGTACCTTGATGTTGAAGCAAGGTATCCTTTGTTTCTTTTTCAGCGTCAAGATCATTCTGAACAATTTGCGTGCTGCCTGTCGTGCCCCAGGGCGGACATCATTGCGCCAACGGCTTCTTGCCCTATCGTCAAACTCAAACTTCCGACGGCATTCCATTATATTTGACGTAAAAGAAAGTAAGCTTTCATGCGTGGGATGAAAATCGCCCCCCTCATCGTCCAACATATTTACGGTCGTTGAACGGACTACAAAGTACTACCAGGTATAACGGGGCACACCCCTTATTCAGTCAACTGAATAAAATCGCACCTTCAGCAGTGCAAGAGTGTGTGCGTCCGACTACCTCACGTACATGTACGTGCAGAGGAAGATTGCTATACGGAGTATAAACACTCAGTAAATGTAAAAAGTAGAACAGCATTTAGTATTGTACATCCTTTTAATAAATCCCTATTTGACACCATTTAATTATGTCTGAATACAAACATGTATCGTAACTATCTGCGCACCACTCATTGCGTGCTTCAGTCGTGGCGCGTCTTCGTTGGTTGATATCTTGGTCCTGTATCGACCAATGAGCAGTGTAATACATCTGCGAAACAATATTATCCGGAAGGATAATATCGTAAAAATGTCATGTTTTTCCTAACATAATATTCATACTTGATATTTACCTAATGCAAACTATCATGTAACGGACGTACCCCGTTACACTATGCCAGCGAGAAGAAGGTGGTGTGGTTTAAGGCAGAAAGAAGCACACCGATATCGTTTAGGGCATAAGCACTTCATCGACGTTTAGGATTTACTACTATCGTGAGTTAAATTTATTATGTTATAGCCCGCTTCTTGTTTGCATGTAACAATCTCGCAAGGGCACAGGTGAATTGATTTGCTGTATTTGAAAAGGTAAATGCAAGATCCCACCTCCCATGTGAATTTCCAATGCTTGGTGTTTACACACATCTTGGTCCTTATACGCCGTTGTAGGGATTTCTGCTCAGCTGTAGAACATTTTACAAATCGACTGTGTAGTAGGCAATCAATGCACCACCTTTGGCATAACCAACTTGAAAGATACGCGAGATTCCCATCGGCCCTTGACCCCAAAACAGACAAGCAGTCGTGAGCATTTTTCTCAAAGCACTCTTTGCGTTACATTTGACCACAGCACTTGTTCATGGCAAGGCATGGCACGGGATGGGATAAGGTATTTGCGTCATTGCTTTGCTGCACTGGACCGTCATACAAGCCTACCTTGTGCTTGCGCGAGCTATGCAGCAGCAACAGAGGTCAGCGAAGAAAAGCCCAGTCTTTGATCAAATCGAGATCATACCTTGAACTTAGAGATTCGTACTACGACCTCGACCGTGTGCGCAGCATCAGCATGTTAGTATTCTGTGTGTCGCAGATTCAGTCGAGGATCGCCTTCGTCTAAACGAACATCAGGTGAAGAATACTTGTACAGTCTCTAACGATTTGTCATAGATTCTTCCGCATCTGGTGCGAGAGCATAGGGACCAAATTGTGACACATCCAGCTCACCCATCGTTCATGAAGGATTGTTGGCTGGAAGTATGTCAGGCTTTTACCGAGCGGTTTTGTACTTAGAGCACGATCTAGCCAATAATATCGCAGTAGCAATCGCATTTTCCTTGTTCTCACATTGAAAAAGTCGCACGATGCAGCAATAGTGGTCGAAATAGTGCTTAATCTTCGATACTGTGAATCGAGAAAATGTCCTCTAGTTTCATCCCGCTTCTTCATTTACATCCATTTCTGAGACCTGATCCCACGCATTGCAACAGAGCTGTGTCAGGATCGGCATCTGATCCGAAAGTCCCCAAAAGGCCTCGATGATACATAAACTTGTAGTTCGCAAGCTTTCTACGCGCCACGACTTTAAGCTCCAATCCGAGCGTCGAAGCAGTGTCACTCCTGGCACTCGACACTGGCAAGTCTGCTTCAAGCGCTCTCGAGAGTGAACGACTCCAGAACTCATTCTCCAAAAAGTCGAGTCACGAACAAGTCTCTTGTCCAGTATCTCACCATGCGAACCTCTGGCTGGCAACTCTGCCTCATTGCAGCCTCTGCCTTCTCTGCCATCGCAGTAGCGGACTTTCGCGTCACTTCGCACCGTACGAAAGAAGCTGTCGAGAGTGCCAAATTCGCCAACTATGTCAAGTCGTTCACTCTGACCTCTTCGGAGCCCACTCAGATCGAATCGCTTGATCTGTCCCTCACCGGAACTGTCTACGTGAGCTACTCGAACGACGTCCCTGCTGACGTGGTTGGCTATGTCAACGTCTCTGGCAGCTCGAAGGCTGTCGTGAATGCCATCACGGTCTACAACCAAGTCGATGGCGTGCTCCCGGATGTGAACAATCTGGATGATGTGTTTGGGGACACCAAGAAACAGCTGAGCGTGTCGATGGACCATGACATTGACGAAGGCTTCTTGCTGACCGAGATCTTCCTGTCAGCACACAGCACGGTGAGCAAGGTGTCGAGTCGCCGGACGTCGAACGTAGTCATCGAAGAAGACGTGCTCATATCTGATAGTACCTCTCACGCGCTAACGATCAGCGTGACGGGCTTGAGCGCGGTGTATGTTTCGTCTCCTGAAACTGAGGTGAAAGTGCGTGAGCTAGAGTTGGAGGCGACCGGCGGCGGAAAGATCCAGTTTGACGCCAAAAATATTTACCTCTGGCAGAAACTGGAGCTTGAGGCTTCTGGCGACACAAGCATCAAGGTGCTGTGCCCCGCCGTTGTCGCTGGTCAACTTGACATTGATGCTGAGTCCAGCGACTCCGAGATTTGCATGTCCTCGAAACAGGTGCGGACCACGTTACCGTCAATCTCGGGCGAGGAGTACATTTCGATGCCGAACTCGAAGCGTAAGTATGGGACCTATGGATCATCCGCCTGCAAGAAATCCAGTCTGCCCCCACGTGAGCCTGCACAGTTCATTCCGGTTTCTGGTCGCCAGAAAATGATTGTCGATGACACTGAGTCAAGCTCCGATGTTGACGCCAAAGATGACGATGTCACCGGTGCCTACGACAGGGCCAAGTCTGCAATCCACGACGCCAAGGACGATGTCATCAACGGAACCGCTAATGCGATGGACAACGCCAAGACAAGCATCTTGGGTGGAGCTAAGGATGCCATCGACGGCGTGACGGACAACATTCTTGGCGGTGGCTCCTCAAAATAGATGAACTAACATCAGACGTGGACAGCACAGACAGGTCCAAGTGTGATCGTAGACGTTGAGTCTTTGTTAGTTAGCTTGCGTCTTCCAGCTTACCTGGCTTGTTTCCTGGAGTGCTGCTATTTCTGCATTTTCTATCGTTCATTGAGCTTTTACGTTGTCTAAAGCAGTCAAAACTATTTGCACTTGCTACATAACAGTCCTCTTTTGTGTCCGAGATGTATATTTAGTTGCATGCAGTGACATACTTCAGAGCTTTCAATGCACAATATACTACTTCTCAACATCACCTTCTGACGTATAAACCTTCCTAGGATCTGTCTGCACACCTCAAATCTTTCATCATTTGTTTCTTCCACATTACCCACGTCGTAAAGAGCAATTTGCGAAAAGCTCCACGTCCAACCCGACTTTATAACCACACCAGGAATGAATCCAGTACGATGTTTAGAGTACTAGTGCCCCACGCTGCTAGCGTTAGTTTTTTGGGCTTGTACCTCTCAAAATGGTGGACTGTATCTCACGCGAGCATGTTTGATCTTCCAAGTGTCGACAAGCCTGCATTTTATGACTGTGCGGCACGAACGTACGTCAGGTCTAGTTTTATTTGATCACTGTGGCGGATGTTTGTGTGAGAGGCCTACGATGATCGAAAGAGTGAATACTAGACGTTACGGAGATACGCTTACATTATCACAGCATCTCAGCCTTAGATGTGGACCTTTACTATACTAAGGAGGTAGCCGTTAACTGACTAAATTGGGACCAAGTAGCTGCAAATTGCTTTGGTCCTTAGCACCACAATCTTACTTTTTGCATTTACCACTTGCTTGCCATCACGCACAACTTGTTTGCCACTAATACTTGTAAAATAAAAAAATGAGACCCAATAACTATACATGAGCCTTTGCCGTAGCTCTTTCGCCCCTTTCTTTTTGGCGAAGTGATGAGCGGGCGCGTTTGTTAGTCATCTTTACGATGTGGTGTATATTAGTGGCAAGGCACACCACATCGATTATTATGGGTGGTACTGGTCGAACAGTTAAATCAGGTACAACTAGTGTGAAATTAGGCTGGTGCATGTACTGATTTTGGATTGATAATTATCACTGAACACCTTCTTCGAGCAAACTGATAGTTGGCGGTGAGATACGATTTGAAGATAATTGATCGGAAAGTCCCTCAGAATGGATGTCCGCAAACGCTAATATAAGTTTTTGATTCTGTACTTCATTACAGTACTTTTATTTGTGGCACCAAAACCTGTAGTTCAACGACGACTTTGTGTCACCATCTGGTCTGTACCAGATAGAAATCCAGTCATACATACAGCTTTGTCTGATGGTGGGAGAGGTAGGCTAGAATTAGTTATTTGCATTGCCAATGCTATTCAAGTCTCCGATTGGCAGGAAGTTTGAGGACCCGCTACTCTGCACGAATGCATACAAAGTCAATGACTTCGTCTGTCGCACGCCTGTGGCCAGGTCTCTTGCGATCCTGCTGGAAAGTCGCAAATCTCTTTCCCACTAGCGGCTGTCGCAGAAATACCAGCACTTCCAGCTCTGCAAAAAAAACTCGTGACGCTTCCACTATCATTTAAAGTCGCTTAAAGTACACAGGACGTGTCCTACGCCTCTGCTTCAGCCTCGAAGGTCTCATTTGTGAAAACGCTTTCTAGTCAGCAAGTGAACCCCCAACTCTCGGAGCCCCCATCGATTTCACTTCTTATCTTCGACCCCGCTCTTTTACCATCATGAACCTTCAGCGACTCCTTCTCGTCGCGTCTTCCTCTCTGGCGTGTGCCGTGAGCAAGTTCACTATCACCCCCGGCACCACGCAAGCCGCCACGTCCACGGTCGACAACGTCAAGTTTGTCAAGCAGTGGACTGTAACTGCAGCGACCACTACTGACTTGATCAACTCGATCGACTTGGACCTCGCTGGGCGCGTGTACGTGAGCTACAGGAGCGGACTCCCGACCGGCGTCCTCGGCTACGTGAACGTCTCGGGCGACTCGCAGGCTGTCGTGGAGGCTGTGGGTGTGGCCCACGACGACGCCAATGACGACAACGACGACGATGACGAGAACGAGGCCAATGACCCGGACGGAGATTTGAACGTCTACATCAACAACAACGCGTCCACTTCTCTCACTGGGTACTTGCTGACTGAAGTCATTCTGGCTTCAACTGGCACTGTAACGGACCTCCAGAGCAAGCGCTCGGCTGTCGTCGTCGTGGAAGACGGTGTCTTGATGACCAGTAGTACCACGGCGGAACTTCAAGTGGAAGCCAGTGGCTCCAGTGCCATCTTCGTGTCTGCAGCTGACGCTGCTGTGAGCATGCGGCAGCTGCAGCTCGACGCCTCAGGCTCTGCGAGTCTCCAGTTCGAGGTCGCGAGCGTCTCCGTGTCCAATGAGGCGCAGGTTGACGCTCAAGGATCCGGTCAAGTCGTGGTTCTGGCTCCCACGGTCGAGGCCGCGATGCTGGAGCTGGACACGGAGAACTCGGGTGCCATCTGTTTTAGCGGACAGCAAGTCACGGCCACGACGTACGAAGGCAAAGACGAAAGTCGCATCTCCATGCCGAATGCTGCCGACAAGCACGGATCCACTGGAACAGCTCCGTGTGAAAAGGCCACGGTACCTCCTCGTGAACCGGCGTGTGCAGGCACTGGATGCGCTTCTGGAACATCGACGACTCCTGGCACCGCTGGAGCTTCAACGACCCCGGGAGCAGCTGGAACGGCCACGACTCCCGGTGCTGCTGGTGGGAACAATGCTGGGATTAGTGCCAGTGACGGAACGAGTGCATCTTCGACCCCTCAACTTGCTGCACTTGTTGCTTTCGCTGCTGTTGGCGTAGCCATGGCTACACTTTTGTAAGCATTGGAATGAATGGTCGGTAGCGAGATGGTATGGGCTTTCCAATTCGATAGCTTTCTATCTCCGTCCGGTAAGACGATGCACTTGCCTTTCGACTCGGAGCTTTATACAACAGAATAATTTGCTTTGTTTTCTGCATACTGTAGTAGCGTCAGCGTTTCATGGCTGTTGCGGAAAATGTCTTCTTGTTCACTTTTGTTAGGCCCTTTCATGTGTCGAGGTGCGTCACAAGTTGGTTGACACGTCGCACCGGAGAGACCTAGTGCTTGACACAAGGGTATGAGATTAAACAGCAGTTCACTGTTGCGGGAGCGAACCAATGAAAAAGGTATGCGGTTCGCAACTTCAGCTTTTCCTTAAGTAGTAAAGCTTGCTACCTCGCCCTGTCTAAAGAGTTTGCATGGACCTACATGTGCACGTCCCGCAGTTGTGAAGTTAAGGGTGCGCTAGTCTTTTTGAATGTCTTGGTTTGAAGTCGGCAGCTACTCTACCGATCAGAACTTCAAAGCAGAGCAGTCGAGTCGAAATGTTATTGGCACGCTCAACAACAATCAGCTCATGTTGCAGCCAGACCAGCCCTTCCTTTTGGTACCGACGTGTACATGGTGCTCGTTTGTTATTGGCACGCAAACATGCATAATCTCTCCTGGATTTATCGAGGTCGATTTCGAATGTATCGCTCCTTGCCACAACCATCTCAGGTACAATCCTAAACATGATGATGCAGTCACTTGTATCGACTCAGTCTTCGTTTTTTTAGGGAAACCGTAAAAAAACAGAGGTGTTCGCATAAAACGGTGTTACGGTGAAATTATCCATTGGTCTCATTTAATATTTGCCAATTTTTTGAGAAAGGTTAGGAAAATACCACTTTCTATCGAGCTTCAATCGAAACGGTTCAAAAAAAGTTGGACAGTCCCCTGTTTAAACGGGCTGTAGTCTTCAGTTGCGAGACGACGGCTCACGCAATGAAGCGGGTTGGAGCCAACGGCGCGACGGTGAAATCTACAGCGACAAAAACTGACAAATATAATCCATCTCGGATAATATTGGTAGGAAATTGTCACGCTAGCCAATCTCCCTATTGACACCGTTACATGATACTTGTAACGGGGTGAATCGTTACATAACAATTTATAAGAAATTGTTAATAGAATATAACTATAAGAGTCATATTCTCAGAATATTGTCATAAGGACAAATATTCTGTAGCACTTACGAGTACTTCCTAATTGGTTGATATAGGCCATTATATCAACCAACGAAGACGCGCCACGACAGACGCACGCAATGAGTGGTGAGCAGATAATTGATTTACACATTTGTATTTAGACATAGTTAGATGAAGATAAATAGTGATTTATTGCAGACATTAACTATGATAAATACAGTTCTACTTTTTACTTTAACCAAGTACTCGCTTCTTCTTACCGTCTTCCTCTGCACGTACGAGTGTACGTGAAGTTACGAGGCACCGCCTTATTCTGTCATCAGAATAAGTAGCTTGTACTGTCACCAGTACAAGCTTTAGGGTGCCCCGTTACACCTGGTAGCACTTCGTAGTCCGTCCAAGGACCACGTTCACATCTAACATGAATATGTTGGATGATGAAGATGACCAAAGCTTTCACGCTACGCGTGACGGCTACTCCCATTTGAGCGATGTCGAATGGGATGCGGTTGAACGAATGGGTTCGACCATGGGCATCCATGCTGTTAGCGTCATGCTAGAGGCTCTCAATAGAGATGCCCAACATGCTACTATCGCCAAGTTCATTCAAAATGAACTTGACGCTGAACGCGAGAAAGTAGCCTTGCTTCACCAACAAGGTTCTCAACAAGCAGAGTTGTTGAGAGAACAGAGTGCTCAACAGTTTGAACTGTTGAGACAGCAGCAGGCTGCTGCTGGCGGGTCGATGCATTCGCGTCGACCCGAGACTTTGAAGATTGACATCTCCAAGTATAGGGGGGTCGAAGAAGACTCCCTCTTGAGATGGTTCGTCGAATTGGATGACGCCATAAGGGCGCGTCGCATCGACGACGGGGATATGCAAGTTGCATTTGCTCAGTCAAATCTGGCAGGACGTGCCAAGACTTGGGCACTGGGGCTCAAGTTGCACGACCCATATGCGTTTGGGTCGTTGGAAGTCTTCAAGTCGCGGCTCAGACAAACGTTTGAACCGCCTAGAGCTGAGTTCAGGGCTCGAACCGAACTCTTGAAGCTCAAGCAGGGTAAGCGTGATGTGCACGCTTACGCTCAACATATACGACATCTCACGAGTTGTATAAGTTCCAATCCGGTGGATGAACACACGTTGGTTTCGGTGTTCATGCAGGGTCTTGCGGATGGTCCCGTCAAGACTCACCTGTTCCGGCTTGAACTAGATTCACTAGAACAAGCCATTTCCATCGCGGAGCAGGAAGACTTCAGTCTGAGACAGGCTCGCGCCAGCTCGACATCATATCGTCAACCGAGACGATATGACAACGGAGGTCCAGAGCCGATGGAACTCTGTTATGTAGAGAGCGAGAAGGCTCGCTCTACAGGCTACAAGAAGTTGCAGAAATGCAACAGATGTCAAAAGACAGGACAATACGCTTACGAGTGTAGTTCCCCTCGTCCAGTGTATCGCAACACTGGGCGTAGTGACCGTCCACCCATGAGAAAGGGGCAGGGACGAGGGTCCGCAGTTGGTGCAAAGACGCAACAACGGGATGGACCGTCAAAAAACGGACAGGATCAGTAGGTGCGGAGCACCCTACTGGTCCAGCAACGTCAAGAGAATTTGTAGGCCTCTTGATGAAGGTTGCTCCCAACACACAAACGTTGTGCGTTGCTGCTCTAGGTAATGAGGTCTCACTCATTACCTTGAAACTCGAAGTGACGAATAAGTTGTCCCTTCGAGCTCTAGTCGATTGTGGGGCGTCCAACAATTTTGTGCGACGCCAATCGCTAGAAGATGGTCACTTTAAGTTCAGTGAATGTGACACACCTCCTACGAGGATGACGGTACGTCTTGCGACAGGCGCATCCGTAACCGTCATGAAGCGTATAGTGAAGATCCACTATACGCTAGAAGATACCCAATATGACGATGACTTCATCGTATTGGATTTGGATGACAAATTTGATGTCATCCTTGGAATAGCGTGGCTCAGAATGTACGAACCACGGGTAAACTGGCAACATCGAACAGTAACGATGCCTGCCGCTTGTTCATCAGATGGCCATCTGAAGAACGTTTTGGAGCGTCCACAAGCGTGTGGATGTACTACGAGTGAGTGCGATGGCCTCACTTGTGGTATGGTCGTTAGTACGACTGCACAAAACCTTAGTGTACCAAACGGTTACACTTCGGAGCAAAGTTCCGGCGGCTGTGAGGAAACACAGGCTGCGCCGAAGGTCCACCACTCGAATAAGTCGAGTGGACCGGGACAAAGATGTATCCCTAGCGGGGAACATCTAGAAGAGAAACAATCGATCGCTCAGGTTAAGCGAAACGATAATCCTAGATCGACTGGAGAGTCTTTCGTAGAGGATCTCGCTGTGGTTGCGCAACCACAGCTAGAGGAAGTAAAGGGAATAAGTCCCAAGATTACAAATACGGCGGAAATAAGTTCCCCGAAACCCGCGGGAATAAGTCCCCGGGAAGCTGAAGGAATAAGTCCTTCGAAGCCTGAGGGAATAAGTCCCCAGGAAATGACAGAGACATTGTGTAACGGGGTGAATCGTTACATAACAATTTATAAGAAATTGTTAATAGAATATAACTATAAGAGTTATATTCTCAGAATATTGTCATAAGGACAATATTCTGTAGCACTTCCGAGTAGTTCCTAATTGGTTGATATAGGCCATTATATCAACCAACGAAGACGCGCCACGACAGACGCACGCAATGAGTGGTGAGCAGATAACTGATTTACACATTTGTATTTAGTCATAGTTAGATGAAGATAAATAGTGATTTATTGCAGACATTAACTATTATAAATACAGTTCTACTTTTTACTCTAACCAAGTACTCGCTTCTTCTTACCGTCTTCCTCTGCACGTACGAGTGTACGTGAAGTTACGAGGCACCGCCTTATTCTGTTATCAGAATAAGTAGCTTGTACTGTCACCAGTACAAGCTTCAGGGTGCCCCGTTACACCTGGTAGCACTTCGTAGTCCGTCCAAGGACCGCGTTCACATCCAACATGAATATGTTGGATGATGAAGATGACCAAAGCTTTCACGCTACGCGTGACGGCTACTCCCATTTGAGCGATGTCGAATGGGATGCGGTTGAACGAATGGGTTCGACCATGGGCATCCATGCTGTTAGCGTCATGCTAGAGGCTCTCAATAGAGATGCCCAACATGCTACTATCGCCAAGTTCATTCAAAATGAACTTGACGCAGAACGCGAGAAAGTAGCCTTGCTTCACCAACAAGGTTCTCAACAAGCAGAGTTGTTGAGAGAACAAGGTGCTCAACAGTTTGAACTGTTGAGACAGCAGCAGGCTGCTGCTGGCGGGTCGATGCACTCGCGTCGGCCCGAGACTTTGAAGATTGACATCTCAAAGTATAGGGGGTCGAAGAAGACTCCCTCTTGAGATGGTTCGTCGAATTGGATGACGCCATAAGGGCGCGTCGCATCGACGACGGGGATATGCAAGTTGCATTTGCCCAGTCAAATCTGGCAGGACGTGCCAAGACTTGGGCACTGGGGCTCAAGCTGCACGACCCATACGCGTTTGGGTCGTTGGAAGTCTTCAAGTCGCGGCTCAGACAAACGTTTGAACCGCCTAGAGCTGAGTTCAGAGCTCGAACCGAACTCTTGAAGCTCAAGCAGGGTAAGCGTGATGTGCACGCTTACGCTCAACATATACGACATCTCACGAGTTGTATAAGTTCCAATCCGGTGGATGAACACACGTTGGTTTCGGTGTTCATGCAGGGTCTTGCGGATGGTCCCGTCAAGACTCACCTGTTCCGGCTTGAACTAGATTCACT